TTTTTTTATATTAGATTCTGGTATCAAAATATTAATCTTTTGTTTGTTTTTAGGAATTGATTTTTTTTTTTCTTGTCTTTCATTTTTAATCATATTTTTATTCAATGATGTATTAAAAATACATAATTCAAAGGACTTGCATCTCGCTCATTGGGGCATACATTTTATTCAGTGATAAGATAAACCTCTTCTTGTTTTGTCTCTATCTTTTAACTTTGCTATGGGAGATCCACTTATTTTTTCTGAATTATTTTTTTGGTCTTTGGCATCTCTCTATCTACTTCTAGTTAAGTAAGAGGGACATATACATACACAACACTTGAAACATTGCTATTTACAAACTAGCACTCATGTTATTTTTATGACTACTAAACCAATGCATTTACACGTGCCATGATCAATTCATGGAGAATTTGATAATACTGACGAGACGGATTGGGGTTTTACCAGAAAATTGAATGAAAAAGAGCGCTATATTTGTAAATAACAGTATTTTGAGTGCTATGTATAGTAGGTTGAAAAGCTCTTTTATACTTCCATATGATTTATAAAGTTACCCAATTTTTTATTGGTGTCTGCCAAACCTTCTGGTGATTCATTCCATGTAATTATCCACTTGTTTCTTACAGTTTCTATTTACCTGTGTAGATTGCAAACTTTGTTGCGAACAACATTAATAGGAGTTGGCCCCAAGATCTGTATGAGAAGGTTGCCAGAATCATATGAGTCTGAGAACATAGTTTCTTCTCCAACAGTTTTGTAGTTGTTGTGTGCTTTCAGTTATAGGTATATCTACTGAAAAGATGGTAAGACCGAATTCTCATATTTCTTTCTAGAGAAACAGGAAGGAGGACTAGTTAGGCTTTTTCCTTCCAGGTTACAAATTGGTAGCCACGTTGAGCAGCTTGGATGGAATGAAATGGTTGGGTGAGCTACCCAAATCTGTGTGGTAATTCTCTTTTATATTCTAGTTATCAGACTTTGTATGCATAATTATTTTTTGTATATTTATGGTAGCTTTTTGAATTGTACTTCTCCTTTTTTTTTAATTAATTGCATGATGGTTGGGCATTTGGAGAGAAATTATTTGGGGGATGGTACTTAACAAAAGTTATACACGCTTTTAATTCTTATTAATATTTCATCATATTGCGGACAAAAAACATAGCAAAAGTCATCTGTTCATTGGCCCTTTTAAAGAGAGGCAATAAAATTTGCTCTTCCTACCTGATTTAGTTGTGACTGGGGATGTGAGTTTGACTTGTAAGCTGGCTTGAATTTGGCTCATTAAATATCTTGTGAGTTTGATGTGCTAATGAGTCGA